TTTTTTTTTTTTTTTTTTTTTTTTTTTTTTCACAGCTCCAGAGAAGTGCCAAGCTCAACTGGACCTCATTTTTTTACTCGACGCATCGGGGAGTGTTGGAGAAGACAATTACGTTAAAGAAAAAGAATTCATTAAGACTGTGACAAGCAGATATGAACTAGGGACAACCAGCCAAGCTGCTGTTATTGCATTTAGTACTAACGTTTTCAACGCAGTCCCGCTGGGCTCGAAGAACACAACGTTGTCGTTCGCTTCGGCGGTGGACAATATCCCGTATTTTAACGGGCATACCCGTATTGACCTCGCACTTCGTCTAGCTTATGATAAGTATTTTTCATCAGAAGACACGAACGAAACTCAGAAACTAGTGATATTGTTGACTGATGGAAAACAAACTCATTCCTATTCTTACATTCCAATAGAGGATACAGTACAGCTCCTTCGTTCAAAAGCTGCTCGTATCTATGCTGTTACTATTGGGAGTAATATTGACATGAGAGCGATGAGGGCTGTTACTGAGGAAGACGACGATATATTTCAAGCCTCTGAATTCAACGATTTGGTAGCAAAGGCCGACACAATATCCAAGACATCATGTGTCGACGCTCGTGAGCTGTTTCTTTAATTTGTATATATCATGCAAATAACTAACTTTTAAGGTTGATCAGTTCTTGTGACATGAGAATACGCATAAGCCGAGCATAAGCATTAGAAAAGCGAGAATAGCAGCGATTTAAATATAAATGTGCAGTCATGTGCACACGAAAAGCATGCAAACGCATTGCGTTACTCGTTTTCTTGTCCTTACTATACCGCGACACAAGTAACGGCAGTGGTAAGAGCAAGAGGAGGAGAGAGAGGAAGAAAAGAAACAGAAGGAGGAGGAGCAGAAGAGTAAGGAGAAGTAGTAGGAGCAGGATTAGTAGTAGGAGCAGGATTAGTAGTAGTAGCAGTAGCTGGAGGAGCAGCCTGATCTGAAGGAGCAGGAGCATAAGCGGGTGCCGTTGCGGGAGCAGGATCAGGGACTGGAGCACGATGAGAAGCAGTTGCCGGAAAAAGGGCGTGAACAGGAGCAGGAGAACCAGATAGAGTAGTAGCAGAGAAAGGAGAATAACCATAGCAGGAAAACGAATAGGAGAAGGATTAGGTGTACGAGAGGAGGAAAAACAGGAGGACGAAAAAGAACAGGAGCAAGAATACGAGAAAGAGTATTTGAAAGGACAGAAACAGAAGCAGGAATAGGAATAGGAGTGGGATTGTTAGCGAACGCACCTGGGGGGAGGGGGGTAAATGCGCTATTAGAGCAGGAGCAGTGCAAGGGGCGGGAATAAGAGAAAAATAGGAGCAGGAGCATGGGTAGGATAAAGAGCATGGGCAGGAGCATCATAAACATAGGCAATAGCTTTTATATTTATAAGTTAGCGATCGGACAACATGACCAAATGAGTGTGTACGTTCTTCTCTTGACTGTGCTGGTATTTGTACTCAAATGTGGCGCTGCTTTCCTCGCTATTCTATGCTTTTCTTTATGCCCTTGGCAAACTGTAGGCATAACTCAAATACAAATGGGTAAGGGGTTAGCCAGTTTGCTTGATTTTAACAGAATATTACCAATCGATTAATTTAATCATTGAATGTTTAGCAAGCAATAGCAACCACAAGGTACACTTAAGTATAACCATATTCTTTTCGGGGACTTTTCCAATTAGACAAAATTATTTGTGCAGTTGTAATGAAAAAGAGAGCATATTTTCATATTTTTATTATTATTATTATTATTATTATTATTATTATTATTAGTCTAAATGAATTATACACATGAGTTTGAGAGAATTTTAATATTGTGAATGGCTTACTTTTCACTAGTCCAGACCCAAGGAATCACGTTTTGTAGTATTGATCCAGAAATGACAAATTGTGAATTTCCAGCGCATTGCGTCAACATGAGTACCGGTGTTTCGTGTATGTGCAGCGATGGCTACGTTGGTGATCCACACCAGTGTGAAGGTGAGTGTTACTGGAATGGAATATACATGTTGTCGAAAGGACTACCAGAAAAACTATTTTGGACACCATCAGTTTGTTATTCGAGATTCCAATTGTCTTTTATGTACCTCCTCAAACTCTTTTGTTCCACTCAAGTTTTTGAGGTTTTGTACGAATTTGTTTCCAATATAATCATAGTTTCAGTTTTTAGTTCCCTTGTCATTGGTTACTCTTCTCCTTATTTCAGACAAATTCTTGTATTTCTTACATTAGCATGGTCTTAGTAGTTAGATTTGTACTGCAGTGAACGAGGCAATGGTGTTATTTTCTTTTGGCAGACATCTGACATTAAGTAAAGAGGGCAACATTTAATTCAGGGGGTGAAACAATACCTCCCGATGCTTTGATTCACGTACTTGAATTTTCATGAATTTTCAGAATTTCGGTAGTGATGGGCCATCCGGCCCCTTCAATTGCTGAACTTGGACTAGATTTTTGAACACCACCTGATGGCATACAAAACTGTTTATTTTTTTTTTTATCATGAATTGGAAAATGTCGGCACCCTAAACTGAACTAGAATAAATACTTTTTTCTCAAACACTTCTTTTCAATTCCAAGACGTGAATGAATGTACCGATGGTTCACATGACTGCCCCGTCAATGCCTACTGTGTCAACATCCCAGGCTCGTACAACTGTTCATGTAACCAGTCAGGATACAGTTATAACGGCAGCATGAGTGTAGGTATGTAAAGTCTGTATTTCCAATGCTTGAGCAGCGATACCTCTAACAGTGAAAGCATTTCAAGAAGAGCAATTGCAAAAAACAACATAAAACTAAACGAAATAGGATAAAACAGCAAGCAGAGAGAGTCGAACTGTTTTAAATTAGTCAGATAAGCCTTGGAAAATGTACTTCTACTACATTGCATTTCTGGTCTATATAATATGTAATTTAATCCACCTGCTATAGTCAATAAAATTTTTCAGGTCAATTAAAAATTAGTGAAATAATATTTCGGGGATCTTCGGGGTTAAAAAAGCAAGCTTATCCATGCTTGCTGGATCTCCTGCATTAATCAAGTATCATCTGATTTGTAATGTACTATAGAAGGCGAATACAAAATGTTTCTGTACAAGATGTTTAAAAACCACTTTCTCGATTGCGAGTTGGGCACATTCCGCATTGAATAAGAAAAGTATGGATTTGCCAGCAAGATCAGCGAAATATTTTGATTCTGATAAGGCAACTTTGATTTGGTGTTGTACGTGTAATGTTGTCGCAATGGTGTGCGCGTTGCTTGGTAATTTATGACTACTTTTAATAATTGCAAACAATGCAATATTATGACAATCTCAGCAGCGCTGGTATAAGATTTCTTCTCCTAGAAAAAAAATAAAACTTGCCGGTACGTTACTAGCAGATTTAAAGTGAAAAGAAATGTTTGCCCTGACAGAATGCAAGCAATATCAACCCTCTATCCTATAACCGCGAATTCACAATATTATCTAGGTGTAGTCGTGTAGGTTTCCTTCAGATTAGCTTTATGTTCTTATGTTCGTTATGTTCATTCTTCCGCTATAACTAACAATAACTTCATTTACACGCGAATGTAGTGAAAGATCATATATTTGTACTGCGAAGAAAGATGATCATCGCAGTTATACACACAACTTAAGCAGTTGTGAAAGTAAGGCCTGAAAAAAAAAACTCACAAAGTCCCCAACTCCCAGTTGGCTTGATAGCTCAGTAGAGTACTGCAACGGTATCGAGAGGTCATGGGTTCGAATCCCATTCAGGCCTGAATTTTTCAGGCTTTAATTTCACAACTGCTTAAGTTGTTTGTATCACTACAATAATCAATCATGTCTTAGTAACTACATTTCTCAATATGAGTATCTCACATATCGGCAGAACTGTTCCTTGCGGTATATTGGATGTTCCTCAGTTTTAAACCTAGCTGCATCTGGTTTTATTCGCACAAGTGTCATGTAGCTCAGTGGAAGAACGTTCACCTATGTGTGGAAAGATTTCATGTTGGACTGCTATTGGGAAAGTCAAGTCATTTCACAACCAGCTTGTGCTGACCCTGACTGAATAATCTCATCTCCCTTATATTTTCTACCAAGCTTTACATCCGGCATTTCTTTATGTTTAACATGTGACAGCGTGTCTGGTTGATTTTAGGGGTTTCCAATTTTTACTTAGTATACATAAAGCGCATTAAAAACACATTTACCAATATAGAAATTCCATTTAAACAGTTCCGCAATGAAAAGAGGCGAGTATTGGGGAAAAAAACTTTCGGATCATCAAGTTGTCTCATCTAACTTAACATGTTATTGCTGGTGATCAATTCTTTGAGCGTGTTTTGCATAAAGTGACTGTGATAAATTATTAATGCTAAGAAATAAATTACACGTCAGTGTATTTAACTTTGTGAAAATAGCAAGACTGTGCCTTCCGGAGGTAATCTCCGAACGAAATTCAAGGCTTACTACACCAAACTGAATTACTAAAAAGATTTTTAATAACACGCATATTATATAACTCTATACAGAATGCTATTCCAAAACTGAGCTCAGTTAAAGCTAAAATTAAGTGATATCCAGACAAACGTCGAGATCTTGGCTATTTAGTCATAAAGATAAGTCTTCAAATTAAACTTAAGAGGATTTTATTCGCTAGGTACTTCAGAAAAGCTCAAGCTGAGTTCAGTCTGAGACCTAAAATGTGGATCTTATTGTGTTAACGGAATATGTTTGTAAATTAACAGAATGCATGCCGACAGCAGGCACGCCACAAACTATTTAATGCTTTTTTTCAAAGGTTTCCTTTGCTCATTTCAAAGTAAAATTGTGGAGATGACATAATACTTTTCAACAGACTTAGCTTTTTTGCTCACTATCGGGCTCAGTATATTAACGTGTTTACAGTTTTTCGCGCCGCGTGGGTTGAGGTAATTTGGTAACCAGGTTCCATTAGGAAAATATCATTAATATTCGATGAACTGTATGACATTTAATTCTCTCGGCACACGCTGCAAAAAATCATCCTAGTTAAAGCCCTGTCCTTTACCACAATTTTATCAAATTTACTACCAAAATG